TTTAGCTATTGTTTCTCTTGATGTAAGATAAATTACCAAACTCTTCTTATCAAACATTCTCTTTATAAACATCTTAGAATCTGGCTTCTCTCAATGCCTTCTTGAAATTGCTTTGTTACACATTATCTGTAGTCTGGTGATCATGAAAACTAATAACTTTTTTAGTTTTCATTCACTAAGGCTGCTTTAGGCTCTGAAGAAATAGAGAAAGCTTATAACTTCTTTTTAAATTTTTCTTTCTTCAAGTCCTCTTTTCTAATATTTGAACATATGTATATATATGTACATGTATATATATAAATACATGTAAAGCATATATGCATACAGGCATGCATACATGTGTGTGTGTATATATATATATATACACAATAGATGTTTATGCACATATACACTATATACATATGTAGTCATGCACCACGGAGCAATGTTTTGGTCCATGACAGATTGCATAATGACAATGGACCCATAAGATTGCAATGAAGCTGCCCTGCAAAGGTGTTTCATTTTTGATCTTTTATGTGGTATTTTTACTGTACCTTTTCTATGTTTAGGTATGCAAGTATTTAGCATTGTGCTATAATTGCCTACAGTAATTAGTGCAATAACATGCTATGCAGGTTTGTAGTCTAGAAGCAACGGTCTGTAATATATAGCTTAGGTGTTAGTAGGCTATACTGTCTAGGTTTGTGTAAGTATACTCTATGATGTTCACACAATGACAAAATCACCTAAAGGCACATTTCTCAAAATATCTCCCCACTGCTAAGCCATGCATACATATGCATATACACATACATATGTATATTATATATATACACATATTATATATATACATATATACATATATATATATGTACACACTCATTCTTCCTAGATTGTTTCTACATCTACTAATAATGTATCAAATACAATTATTTTATCATTAATAGAATTATTATTTGTTCTTAACCTCATAGCTTTTCCATAAGTGGGAAATCCTGTGTCTTCTCTAACTTTTTCTACTTACCACAAATAAATAAATTACGGTTTTTATCTTGATAGTTTCTTGCTCAAACACACTGTTTCTTTCTGCCATGGCTTAAAGAATAAAGAAAAAAATATATCATTTCAAATCTTTTGTCATAACCATATGACTTTTTTTTTACTGTCTTCAATTTTATTGCCTTATATATCTGTTATAAACATTTATGCTTATCATGTATCTTGATGATCTTTATGCTCTTTTGCTTACAATCCCCCATTCAAACTATTTCCACCTTTTGAGTAGCCTTTCCTTTCCTTCCTCATTCCCCTAAGACTAAGTGATTCTCCACTCACCCTCTCTCCATTTGAACAGCTATAGCAATCTTTTTTTTTTTTTTCTTTTTTTGGTACTTACCTTCCTTGCACTTTGTGATGGTTTTCTATTCTTTATTATTTTGAGATGTATATGCTTTTATTGATGATTTTTTGATTAACAATTATGAGGGAGGAATACACAAGCGATAATATCCAGTCAGTGTTTATTTAGAAACTTTTTAATATGTGTTGATTTAATTTGCAGTTTGCAATATGAAGATTTGCCTTGGTGGTATGTGCTCCCTGATTAGTATAGTGTTAATTTCTACAATAATAGGTAAGTGGTTAAACTCATACACTTTTTATGGTTCTTCACACCTGAGAGGTCCATTTCTATGTCAAGCCTAACTCCAAATCTCCCAGATCTGGAGTAATTAAAGGGTTTTGTAGTGAACTTGTCCTCAAGTTTTTACCAGTACAACAGGTTTTACCATAATCCTTGCTTCTCCCTAAAACACTCTTAGTCTCACAATAGAATTATGTTCTTGACTTTATAGTTCTTGATATTTAAGAAAAATAATGTTAAATTCTCAGATGACCCCCGATGGCAATAGCAATAGCTATGTTACTGAATTGCCAGGGGCTCAGTCTAGGTCCCATTGCTCACAGCACAGAAAGCCAATCCCAAAGACGATGACTACTGCCAGGGAAAAAGACTTTTTATTTGGGAGATGGCAACAGGGAGAATGGGAAATCAGTCTCAAATTCACTTACCCAACTGACGAAAATTAGGGGTTCATACAGCAGGAAAGAAAGGTAACTATGTGTGAGAAAACAAGAGTTAGGGAGCGATAAAAAGGAGGAGTGGGAGTTGATCAATAGGAATTAGGGAGGGGTAGAAAAGAAGAGTGGGTCAACAGGGAGCAGGTGGTCGGTTAGGCAGTCATGACAGTGAGGAGTTGGGGATGTCACTGTCTGGATGTGGTGATCTGGTGACTTTCAGTTTCCTGATACTATCTGGGAGGCCTAAGGGTCAGATTCCTAAAAAAGGAACTCAAATAAGACGAATGTAAGTTTCAAGGTTTAAGGCCAGGAGGATCAATTTCTACATTTATTTTTTTTAAAACCCACATAAACATCAGTTTTATGAACTTGTTACAGCTAATTTTCTGTTTAAAAGTTTGTGAGTTTGTAAGCCACTGTTAAATACACTATATTCTGCTATTTGTATTTAATCCTCATTAGACTAGGACACAGATATAAGAAAATCCATTTACAGACAAAAAATATACAGGACAGAATGAGTAAGTTGCCTCTCACAAATAATAAATTCCAGACCTAGGATCAAAAACCTTGTCTGTATCACTGTAATGCACGATAAATTTTAAAAATCATGCAGCTGTACTTCCATAATTGTAGCATTCCTTTAATTTCTTTTAAATCAAAAGTAAGTTATGCCACTAACCATTGTTCTATAAAACATTTACTTATTTCTATTAGTCGAGAGGCAAAATTTTACCTCTAACCTCTCAGGGTTTTGCTGCTGGGCCTGAGAATGAAATTGGGCACAAGACACATCAACTTGAGCAAAGCACATGCATTTATTTAATATAAGTTTTTTTTGTGACATGTATGTCTTCCTTATGAAAGCCTAAAAATTCAGTTAGAGTCGAACATTTAGATACTTAATTAAACAAAAGGTAATAAATTATGTAAATGTGGCAAGGAAAAGAGGGTTGATCTAGGGTAATTAATTGGGTGGAAAAGTGACCAGAAAGATAAATGTTAGTTTAACCAACGCTGTTTGCACACATTTCCTTTGGCCTCAACTACCTATCCTTGGTTATAAGACTGTTACTTTCCTTCTAGTATAGAGAGGCTATCTTTCACGTAGGTATTTTATCTCCTGCCTATAAGAAAAGAAGGAAGTTCAGAGTGTTTTGTCTTGCGTCTGCTGTTTTATAAGAGCCTTTAACTCAAAATAGTCTATATGCTAGAGTGACATATTTGGGGGCATCATGTTCTGAACTCCTTTACTATCATATTGACTTAAAAGATAAAATGAAGAAATAATGGCATATGTGACTTGTTGCCAGACTGTCTCATTGTAGGAGTTGCAATATTTATAAAAATGAAGTTGTTAAATTTCCTCTGGGTACCATGGGTTTATTTTGTGAAATGGATCCAAAGGTGGAATTTAATTATGGCCAAATAGCCCTCAGCAGTTGATTTTCAATATGCATGCTTCGCTTAATTTAGCACTTAAAGTTGGCTAAGTTAGTGCTTAGCACTGCGGATTCTTGTTTGTTTGGTTTCAGTTTGGTTTGGTTTTGGTCATTCTCAAGAATGCTGATAGTCTTCTTGTTTATAGTCTCCTCTGTCACTGTAGTATTAGAGCTTAAAGTTATTGGTGTCCAAACATCTGGAAGTTAAATGTAGACAAGAGTTTCTACAAGAAGTTTTTTATATTCATTTACCTGTTGATTGAAAAGAGCAGAAAGACAAAAGAAGATATTTATGTGGCCAAAAAACATATGAAAAAAAGCTCATCATCACTGGTCATTGGAAAAAGGCAGATCAAAACAACAATGAGATACCATCTCAGATCAGTCAGAATTGTGATTATTAAAAAGTTAGGAAACAATAAATGCCGGCAAGGCTGTGGAGAAATAGGAACACTTTTACACTGTTGGTAGGAGTGTAAATTAGTTCCATCATTGTGGAAGACAATATGGTGATTCCTCAAGGATCTAGAACCAGAAATCCCATTTGACCCAGCAATCCCATTACTGTACTGGGTATATACTCAAAGGATTATAAGTCATTCTACTCTAAAGACACATGCACATACATGTTTACTGCAGCACTATTTACAATAGCAAAGACTTGGAACCAAGTCAAATGTCCATCAATGATAGACTGGATAAAGAAAACATGGCACGTATATACCATGGAATACTATGCAGCCATATAAAAGAATGAGTTAATGTCCTTTGCAGGGACATGGATGAAGCTGGAAGCCATCATCCTCAGCAAACTAACACAGGAACAGAAAACCAAACACTGCCTGTTCTTACTCACAAGTGGGAGTTGAATAATGAAAATACATGGACACAGGGAGGGGAACATCACACACCGGGACCTGTGAAAGGGTAGTGGGTAAGGGGAGAGAGAGCATTAGGACAAATAGCTAATGCATGCAGGGCTTAAAACCAGATGATAAGTTGATAGGTGCAGCAAACCACCACGACACACGTATACCTATGTAACAAACCTGCACGTTCTGCACATGTATCCCAGAATTTAAATTAAAAAAGAGCAGAAAGAAAGAGAGTTGAAACACAATATGTTTTATACCCTGTGTAGTAGTGTGTATCCACTTCTGAGCACTACGACAACAGCAACAACAACAACAAATATACATCATGGTGGAGTGGAGAGTGCAGGCTTTGGAGTTTGCCCTACATTTGAGTTTACCCTACATGAGTAGCACCATTTCTCAAAATAGAAGCCAGGAAAATAGAAAAAAAACTCATATACTGCTTGATCACTAAATGATCTTCCTTACAGATGGGGGAAGTTAATTAATCTTCATTCTAGGGGTGAAGCTAATTTACAGGCTTCAAACCATGGAAGCAAAAAATAAAATTAATACAGTAGAATGAGTAGAAACACTTTTTAACTTATGCTTTATCTTATCATTTCTTTCTTTTTTTTCAGTCATGTGCTTAAAACATGCCAAACCTGTGGTATGTTCAGAGGACTGGGTTGGAGTAAGAGATAAGTGTTTCTATTTTTCTGATGATACCAGAAATTGGACAGCCAGTAAAATGTTTTGCAGTTTACAGAAATCAGAACTTGCTCAGATTGATACACAAAAAGATATGGTAAGAAAACAGAAAAGTCTTCAGTAATTTCAGAGATTACATTTTTATAAAAAGATAATAAAAGCAATAATAGCTAATACTATAATACAACTGAGCCTTGAACAATATGGGTTTGAACAGTGTGGATCCACTTATACATGGATTTTCTTCCCTCTGCCACCCTTGAGACACCAAAGCAACCCCTGCTCTTCTTCCCCCTCCTCAGCCTACTCAATATGAAAACAGTGAGGATGAAGACACTTAGGTTGCTTCACTTCCACTTAATGAACAGTAAATAAATTTTCTCTTCTTTATGATTCCTTAATACCATCTTTTCTCTAGCTTTGTTTTTTGTAAGAATACAGCATATAATTCAAATAACGTACAAAATATGTGTTAATTTACTTTTATATTACCATTAAGACTTCCAGTCAACAGTAGGCTACTAGTGGCTACATTTTCTGTTTTTGTTTTCTTTTTAAGAAAGGGTCTCACTCTGTTGCCTAGGCTGGAGTGCGGTGGTACAATCTCAGTTCACTGCAGCATTGAAATCCTGGGCTCAAGCAATCCTCCCACCTCAGCCTCCTGAGTAGTTGGGACTACAGGTGCACACCACATTGGCTAATTTTGCTTATTTTTTGTAGAGATGAAGTCTCGCTACGTTGCCCAGACTGATCTCAAACTGGGCTCAAGCAAGCCTCCTTCCTCAGCCTCCCAAAGCGCTATAATTAGCTTGAGCTACCATGCCCAGCATGGTTGACTTTTTGAGTCAAAAATTATATACAACTTTTGACTGCACAGGGTGTCAGTGCCCCTAACTGCCACATTGTTTAAGTCAACTGTATATGACAATATGTGCTAAACAGTGTTCTAAGCACTGAAACTTATGTAATTTTCTAGTAACACCCATGAAGGAGTTATATAACTCTCCCTACTTTAAGGAGGGGAAAGTGGGTCACAAAAATGTTATGTAACCCAGCCAATGTTATAGCCATAAGTTGTTGAGCTGGGATTTGAACCCAGGCAAGATGACTCGTGATGCCATGTCCTTTACCACAATGCATACTGTTTCCGTATCTAAATGTCTTCATTAAATGTTCTTAGATTATTAAGTAGATTATTTTTTGAACCATTTCAATTTGCATTCTACCAAGCATAGACTAAAAAAAATAAAATACAGCTCTTGAAATTTAGAGACAAGGATATGAAGGAAATATGTGCACTTTGAAGAAGCGAGTGAATTAATGGAAGTGAAGAAGGCGACACGTGGACTCTAGGGACACAGAGTAAGAAAACAGACTAGTTTTTAAAGAAAAGCTGGGGATTGGGGAGTGGGCAACATTTCCGGCTAGAAGTATTTGGTGTGCACAGCTTTCACGGAGAGGAACTGAAGTGGTAAGTAAATACAGCACTTTCAACTGAAATATCCAGGGTACACGCAATGGAACACATCATGGAAACAACTCAACCCATGGACAATGGAGAAAAGCAAGGCAGGCAGACAGCCAACCTGGGAATGACACAGAGCCAGGGGAACCTCTCCTTGTCCAGGGACGTGGTGAGTGAATGTCCAACCCCAGGATCCCATGCTGCTCCCATGGATCTTTGCAACCCTCAGGTCAGGAGATCCCCTTGTGAACCAACTCCACCAAGGCCTTCTGTCTGACTGAGCAACCTGGAGCCTCAGGAGAGCAGCCACTCAGGCACGTGCAGAGACCTGGGAGCCTTAGCCAGGCTTTCCAGGCTTCCTAGAAAAAGTAGTTGCAACTCCAGCAAAGAGGGAGGTTATACACTACCTTACATGTCCCTAGTAAAGGGGCTGAATCCAGGGGGCTGAGCAGCGACATTCTGCAGGACCCACTTCCATGGCACCTCACAGGGTGGGACCTACTGGCTTGGAATTCTATCCAGCCATCAATAACAGCATTGCACCTCCCTAAGACAGCTCCTAGAGGGAAACGTGGGCCTCCATCTTTGCTGTTTGGGTGACTTAGTCATCCAGCCTTCAGGCTTTGGAGAATCCATGTTGACCAGGGGCGGAAGTGGCCCCCAAGTACAGCACAGCTGCTCTACAAAAAAAGTGGCCAGACTGCTCTTATAAGTGGTTACCCAATCCTGTTCCTCCTCACTGGGCAGGGTATCCAATCAGGGTCCCTAGCCACTTCCTTCAGGTGTGTTCGGGCCGGCAATAGGTGTGTACCTGCCTGACACAGAGCTCACAGAGGGAGAGGCAGGCCACGATCTTTGCTGTTTTGCAGGCTTCACCATTGGTACCTAGAGGTATTGGAAAATTCGAGGTGAATAGGGACTGGAGATGGCCGCCGCCATGCCACAGCAGCCCTATGAAAAAGTGGCCAGGCCATTACATGGGTGCCCATCTCCTTGTCTCTTCACTAGGAGGGTCCTCCAGGTTTCAGTCTCCAGCCACCCCTCTCAAGAGCTGTCAAGCCAGTAGCAGCTCTGGAATGTCCTGGACAGAGCCTCCAGAGGCAATGAAAACCTCTCTGCCACTGCCTCTGCGCTGGAACCACCCTTGCTGCCCTCAGACTAACGAAGGAGCAAAGACCCTAAGTCTCTTATCCACACCTCCAGTAAGTTGCAGGAGAGGAGGCCAGTCCATCTTCACAGGCTCTGCCCACTCACCTTGACCAGACATGGAGCCCCCAGCTTGGGCCCACAGCACAGACTCTCCATCCTAGGCTGATTGCACTGAATGATTGCTTACTTGCATCTCTCTGGAGTGAAACTCCTAGGAGAAAAGCAAAAGACTGTTGGCCTTAACTACAACTAAGGTCCCTTCCATTGCTGCCTCAAAGCTGTGGAGGAAACATAAACACTGAGATCACCCAAGAGCTGCAGTGGGCAGCCTAGGAGTGCCAGGCACAATCTACAGCCATTACTCACCCCTATGAAAACATACATAAAAGAGGTCTGTTGACAGTACTAAATATGCACTGCAGTTAAAGTAACACCCACAGAGAGATGAGAGAATTCATGCGAGAACTCCAGTAACTCAAATAGCCAGATGTTATATGTTCTCCAAACAATTGCACCAGTTCTCCAACAAGAGTTCTAACCAGGCTGAACTGACAGGTTAACAGTTGAATGATATTGAAGGACAGAAACTCAATGCTATTTCTATCAAACTACCAATGACATTCTTCACAAAACTAGAAAAAATTAATTTAGAATTTATATGGAATCATAAAAGAGCCCAATAGCCAAGGCAATCCTGGCAAAAAGAATAAAGATGGGAGCATCATGTTATCTGACTGCAAACTATACTGCAGGACTTCAGTAACCAAAACAATGTGGTACTGGTACGAAAAACAGGCACATAGACCAATGGAACAGAATAGAGAGCCCAGAAATAAGGCCACACACCTATGACCATCTCATCTTTGACAAAGCTGACAAAAACAAGCAATAGGAAAAGAACTCCCTGTTTAATCAATTGTGCTGGATAACTGGCTAGCCATATGCAAAAGATTAGAAGCAGGACTCCTTTCTTATACCATATATAAAAGTCAATTCTACATGTAAAACCCAAAACTATAGAAAGCCTGGAAGGAAACCTAAGCAATACCATCCTGGACATTGAAACAGGGAAATTTCATGACGACGACAACAAAAGCAATGGCGAAAAAAAAATTGCAAAAATTGGCAGGTGGTGTCTACTTAAACGTAAGAGCTTCTGCACAGCAAAAGAAACTATTAACACAGTAAACAGACAAACTGCAGAATGAGAGAAAATTTTTGCAAGCTATGCATCTGCCAAGACAAAGGCACTTAAACAAATTTACAAGAGAAAAACAACCCTATTAAAATTGGACAAAGGATGTAAACAGGCACTTTTTAAAAGAAGACATACATGCCGCCAACAAACATATGAAAAAAAGCTCAACGTCACTGATAATTAGAGCAAAGCAAATCAAAACCACAATGAGATACCATCTCACACCAGTCAGAATGGATATTAATAAAAAGCCAAAAAACTACAGATGCTGGCGAGGTTGCAGAAAAAAGAGAACACTTATACACTGTTGGTGGAAGTGAAAATAAGCTCCACTACTGTGGAAAGCAGTGTGGCAATTCCTCAAAGAGCTAAAAGCAGAACCACAATGGTTGCAGTGGTGTTTACATGATTGACTTTATAATTCTTTTGTTATGGATGAATTAATTGTTTTGAATGTTCCCTTAACTCATAAGTCTGTCTACTTTTATCTTTGATCTAAAATTACTACTGACAGGACTGCATAAGACTCACATTTAATTAGTTAATTGCTTAATACAGAAGTTTGTTCAGTACTTATGTAAATGATGTACATAAAAAACTTTCTGGTCCTGTCCTATTGATCTCAGTTAGCACATTGCCGTGATTAACCCAGAACTATGTGATGACAGACATGACGGATATAACTATTGGTTAATGGCTCAATACCTGGGTGATGAAATAATCTGTAAAACAAACCTTCATAACACAAGTTCACCAATGTAACAAACCTTCACATATACCCCAGAACCTAAAATACAAGTTAAAGAACAAAAAGCTGATGAAGAGGTTTGTGGTTCAATAGCAAAAAGCCAATAGAGGAATAACTAAACCCATCACTTAATATATTTTGTTCAGTAAATTATATTCATATAGAAGTTAGTTTCATATCTGATTATGTAAAAAATACAATATCAGTGACATTCATATTATAGTATATAATCAAAGTAATTTATCATTGGGTTTTTCTATTCTAATAGTACTTACATTTTCCATTAAACTCCTCCCCCTGCAATCCCTCTTCTATGACTTTTGGAAGAGTACCTGTGCACACAAAAATATATCTAAACATTAGTTCTCTATCATCCTTGAAGAAGATGCTGTATCAGATCTCATAGAACTTGCTAAGGTTTTATATTGTCATCTAGGCAAATTTAACATCATATTAATTGATAGCCTATGTCATTCAATCTGTGACTAGAACATAATGGTTTAGGAATTTGAACTCGAAGGAAATAAACTCAAATATGGTTTTGTCATTAATTTCCAACTAGAGACATGGAAGCTACCTTTAAAGATAACCAGAGTGTAGCTCAGCATCAATTACTTGATTATAGCCCAACTATTTGAAGATACTTAAGATGCAGAAAAGCAAAATGAAAGCCTTTCTGACAAAACTAACAAATATCTGTGTCTGTGCCGTTTGTTATTTTAGAAGCCCCAGGGAAGACAAATCAGAATGTGAATCCTAAAAGATGGAATAATTGGTGTGGGAAGCATGTTCAGCAATGTACTGTAACATATTAAGTAATTGATGATTCCCTTTGCTTTGTGAAAGGAATTTTTGAAGAGGTTCGCAGGAACGGATATGTACTGGATTGGACTAAGCAGAAAACCAGAAGATTCTTGGAAATGGACAAATGGCAGCACATTCAATAATTGGTGAGTTTCCAATGTATTAGGAATGTTCTTATTCTGATGTTGCATAAAATTTTTTTAACCATTTTCGGTTGTGTTAATATAAACAAATCTTTCTCTATTCTATGTGTAATTAACTTTTCAGTCTCCTATCTATGACATGGGCCCTTTCACATTGAAGCACACACTAGAGTAACCCACTTTCTTCTCACCTTGTAAATAACACATGGTGGAATTTTCCATTTTTATTTTTATTTGTTATTTTATCTTTATTGTCAAGCTCTTGCTTTACAATAAGCTCTTGCTTGACAATAGGTGCTCTTTTGCTAATTCAAATTCAACCATTCTGCCAATTTTAAACCCAAACTCATGTATTACTTGTACCTCTTTCCAGCTAATTAAGTTTATGTAAGATCTCTTTGTCTTTAAAGAGTTAAAGACCTTATAATTGTCTTTAACATTTCAAATGTCTGCCACAATGAATAGTATTTATTTTTATTTATTTATTGCTTATTTTATTTATTTTTTTTTCTGTAAACATTTCCTGAGTGAATTAAAATTGTTAACCATCATTCTCAGCAAACTGACACAAGAGCAGAAGATCAAACACTGCATGTTCTCACTCATAGGCAGGTGTTGAACAATGAGAACACATGGACACGGGGAGGGGAGCATTACACACTGGGGTCTGTGGGGGGGAAATAGGGGAGGGACAGTGGGGGGTGGGGAGTTGGGGAGAGATAACATGGGGAGAAATGCCAGATATAGGTGATGGGGAGGAAGGCAGCAAATCACACTGCCATGTGTGTACCTATGCGACTATCTTGCATGTTCTTCAAATGTACCCCAAAACCTAAAATGCAATAAAAAAAAAGAAAAAATATATATATATATAAAGTGTTTCTTGGGATAAAACAGTTAAAGATTGCGTAGTTGTCTTTAGCTTTCCAAATGTTCATCATAAGCAATATTGTATTTATTTTTTAAATTTTTGATTATTTTTTATTAGTTTACTTTTTTATTTATTTATATAACTGTTTCTCGGATACATATGTATTTCTGCCTTATTATTTTAGTTAAGTGCTAGATAATAAAAACAACCAATAATATAAATATTGGAATATGCGAGACAGGACAAATTGTATTGATAAATAAGTAAAGATTTGGTTATCAACAAAGAAAACTAATTTAAAAACTATATATATATATATAATTTTACTGTAAGTTCTGGGATACAAGTTCAGAATGTGTAGGTTTGTTACATAGGTATGTATGTGCCATAGTGGATTGTTGCACCTATCAACATCTAGTTTTTAAGCCCCACATGCATTAGTTATTTGTCCTAATGCTCTCACCCTCTCAACTCCCTGACAGGCCTGGGTGTGTGTTGTTCCCCTCCAGGTGTCCATGTGTTCTCATTGTTCAACTGTCACTTATGAGTGAGAACATCCAGTGTTTGGTTTTCTGTTCCTGTGTTAGTTTGCTGAGGATGATGGCTTCCAGATTTATCCATGTCCCTGCAAAGGACAAGAACTCATTCCTTTTTATGACTGCGTAGTATTCTGTGGTACCACTATGTATCACATTTTCTTTAACCGGTCTATCATTGATAGCCCATTTTGGTTGATTTCATGTCTTTGCTATTGTAAATAGTGCTGCAGTAAATATATGTGTCCATGTGCCTTTATGATCTAATAATTGTATTCCTTTGGATATATATCTAGTAATGGGATTGCTGGGTCAAATGGTATTTCTGGTTCTATATGGTTGAGGAATCTCTACACTGTTTTCCACAATGGTTGAACTAACTTACATTCCCACTAACAGTGTAAAAGCATTCCTATCTCTCCACATCATCACCAGCATCTATGGTTTCTTGAGTTTTTAATAATTGCCATTCTGACCGGCATGAGATGGTATCTCATTGTGGTTTTGATTTGCATTTCTCTAATGATCAGTGATGCTGAGCTTTTTTTTTAATATGTTTGTTGGCTGCATAAATGTCTTATTTTGAGAAGTGGCTGTTTATATCCTTCGCCCACTTTTTGATAGTTTTATTTTCTTGTAAATTTGTTTAAGTTCCTTGTAGATCCTGGATATTAGACCTTTGTCAGATAGGTAGATTACAAAAAATTTTCCCATTTTGTCAGTTGCCTATTCACTCTGATGATACTTCCTTTTGCTGTGCAGAAGCTCTTCAGTTTAATTAGATTCCATTTGTCAATTTTAGCTTTTGTTGCAATTGCTTTTGGTGTTTCAGTCATGAAGTCTTTGCCCATGCCTATGTCCTGAGTGGTACTGCGTAAGTTTTCTTCTAGGATTTTTATGGTTTTGGGTTTAACATTTAAGTCTTTAATTCATCTTGAGTTAATTTTTCTGTAAGATGTAAGGAAGGGATTCAGTTTTAGTTTTCTGCATATGGCTAGCCAGTTTTCCCAGCACCATTTATTAAATAGGGAATTCTTTTCCCATTGCTTGTTTTTGTCAGTTTTGTCAAAGATCAGCTGGTTGTAGACATGGCATTATTTCTGAGGTCTCTGTTGTGTTCCACTGGTCTGCATATCTGTTTTGGCACCAGTACCATGTTGTTTTGGTTACTGTAGCCTTGTAGCAAATTTGAAGCCAGGTAATGTGATGCCTCCAGCTCATTCTTTTTGTTTAGGATTTTCTTGGCTATATGGACTTTTTTTTTTTGGTTTTATATAAAATTTAAAGTAATTTTTTTCTAATTCTGTGGAGAATGTCAGTGGTAGTTTGATGGGAATTGGACTGAATCTATAAATTACTTTGGGCAGTATGGCCATTTTCATGATATTGATTTTTCCTATCCATGAAGATGAAATGTAAAAAAACATTGTAAGCAGTCTCTTAGGTTTCTACTGCAGTATGTTTCAAAAGTACCAAGTAAATATAAATCTTATTTTTACTTTTTGAAAAAGTACATCTACTAAAATTAGGCCAGAAAACTGATTTTTTTTAAATTTCAGAGATCTTTGAATTTGGCAAACACTCTCTTTCTTTCCATATAGAGAGGAAGAAAGGAAAGAAGGAAGGAGGGAGGGAAGGAAGGAAGGAAAGAAGGAAGAGGGGGAAGGAAATAATGGTTTTGCCCCTGTCTTTATATATCTATATGTGTCTGGTGTCTGTCTGCCTGTCTACAAATTGCTTTAAATAGGGTTACAGGTTTTAACTCCAACAAACACTTAAAATACTTATATTCAGTCTTATTTTCCCTTACTATGCCAGATATTTTAATGTAGCATATGAAGATGGGTGGGTATATTTTCTATGAAATCACTGTTTGGTATATTTCAAATCATTCTATTCTTAATTGTCTTTTTGATTACAGCTGTAAGTGATTTCCAGACTAATTTAGAGTGTTCTTTTTCAGGTTTCAAATTACAGGGAATGGATCCTATGCTTTCCTGAGTGCTGATGGAGTCCATAGTTCCAGAGGACTTATTGATATCAAGTGGATTTGCAGCAAATGTAAGTAGTTTTATTTTATTTTAATTTTTATTTCAGTAAAAGTTGTTTTTCTAATTTTTTTTTAACTTTTGGTTCTGGGGTACATGTGCAGATCATGCAGGATTGTTGCATAGGTACATACATGGCAATGTGGTTTGCTGCCTCCATCCCTCATCACCTATATCTGGCATTTCTCCCCATGTTATCACTCCCCAATCTCCCCACCATCCCCCCATCAAAAAAACTTGAAAATAACTATCACACTTCTAAGATAAAAAGAAAAGCTACTAGAGGGATTGTTGGCAAGGTAGCCAAATAGGAAAAGCTCCAGTGGGCAGCTCACAGTGAGAGCAGTGCAGAAGGCAGGTGATTGCCGCATTTCCAACTGAGGTGCCTGGTTCATCTCATTGACACTGGTTAGACAGTGGGTACAGCCCAAGGAGGGTGATCCCAAACAGGGCGGGGCATCACCTCACCTGGGAAGTGCAACGGGTTGGGGAACTCCCTCTTCTAGCCAAGGGAAGACATTAGGGACTGTCCCATGCACTCCAGCCCAGATACTGCACTTTTCCCAGCGTCTTCACAGCCTGCACACCAGAAGACTACCTCCAGCGCCTACAACACCACGACCCTGGGTTTCCAGCACAAAACTGGGTGGCCATTTGGGGAGACCTCAAGCTAGTCACAGCAGTTTTTTTTCATACCCCAGTGGCACCTGGAACACTAGTGAGACAGAACTGTTCATTCCCCTGGAAAGGGGGCTGAAGCCAGGGAGCCAAGTGATCTGGTTCGGCAGGTCCCACCCAAACAAAGAGCAGCAAGCTAAGATCCACTGGCTTGAGATTCTCACAGCCAGCACAGCAGTCTGAGCTCGACCTAGGACATTGGAGCTCAGTGGGAGGAGGGGCATCTGCTATTGCTGCTGCTTGAGTATGTGATTTTAACCTCACCTGTTTAAACAAAGTTGCTGAAAAGTTCAAACTAGGCAGAGCCCGCAGCAGCTCAGCAAGGCCTCTGCAGGCAGGCTGTGCCACTAGACTCCCTCCTGGTTAGGCAGGGCATCTCTGAAAAAAGGCAGCAGCCTGTCAGGGACCTATAAATAAAGCCCCCACCTTCCTGGGACAGAGCACATGGGAAAATGGATGATTATGGGTACAGCTTCAGCAGACTTAAACATCCTTGCCTGGCAGCTCTGAAGAGAGCAGTAGGTCTCCCAGCACAGTGTTTGAACTCTGATAATGGACAGACTGCTTTCTCAAGTAGCTCCCTGACTCCCGTGTATACTGACTGGGAGACACCTCCCAGAAGGGGCCAACAGATGCCTAATACAGAGCTCTGGCTGGCATCTGGGGGGTGCCCTTCTGGGATGAAGCTACCAGAGGAAGGAACAGTCAGTGATCTTTGCTGTTCCTTAGCCCCCTGCTGGTGATTCCCAGGCAAGCAGGGTCTGGAGTTGACCAGACCCAGCAAACTCCAACAGACCTGTAGCAGAGGGGCCTGACTGTTAGAAGGAAAACTAACAAACAGAAATAGTTTCAACATCAACAGAAAGAATGTCCACTCAGAGACCCCATTCAAAGGTCACCAACTTCAGAGACAAAAGGTGGATAAATCCACAAAGATGGGAAGACATCCGTGCAAAATGGCTGAAAATTTCAAAACCCAGAACACCTCTTCTCCTCCAAGGGATCACAACTCCTCACCAGCAAGGGAACAAAACTGGACAGAGAATGAGTTTGACAAATTAACAGAAGCAGGCTTCAGAAGTTGGGTAATAACAAACTTCTCTGAACTAAAGGAGCATGTTTTAACCCAATGCAAGGAGGCTAAGAACCTTGAAAAAAGGTTAGACAAAATGCTAACTAGAATAACCAATGTAGAGAAGAACATAAACCACCTGATGGAGCTGAAAAACACAGCACGAGGACTTCATGAAGTATATACAAGTTTCAATCAATCAAGTGGAAGAAAGGATATCAGACATTGAGATCGACTCAATGAAGTAAAGCTAGAAGACACATTAGAGAAAAAAGAGTGAAAAGAAATGAACAGAGCCTTCAAGAAATATGGGATTATGTGAAAAGACCAGATCTACGTTTGATCGGTGTACCCGAAAGTGACAGGGAGAATGAAACCAAGTTGGAAAACACTCTTCAGGATATTATCCAGGAGAACTTCTGCAACCTAGCAAGGCAGGCCGACATTAAAATTCAGGAAATACAGAGAACACCACAAAGATATTCCTCAAGAATAGCAATCCTAAGACACATAATCATCAGATTCACCAGGGTTGAAATGAAGGAAAAAATGGTAAGGGCAGCCAGAGAGAAAGGTTGGGTTACCCACAAAGGAAACACATCAGATTCACAGCAAATCTCTTGGCAGAAACCCTACAAGCCAGAAGAGAGTGGGGGCCAATATTCAACATTCTTAAAGAAAGGAATTTTCAATCCAGAATTTCATATCCAGCCAAACTAAGCTTCATAAGCGAAGGAGAAATAAAATTCTTTATGGACAAGCAACTGCTGAGAGATTTTGTCATCACCAGGCCTACCTCACAAGAACTCCTGAAGGAAGCACTAAGCATGGAAAGGAACAACCAGTACCAACCACTGCAAAGACATTACAAATTGTAAAGACCATCAATGCTATGAAGAAACTGCATCAACTGAAGGGCAAAACAACCAGTTAGCATCATGATGGCAGGATCAAATTCACACATAACAATACTAACTTTAAATGTAAACGGAGTAAATGCCCCCAATTAAAAGATACAGTCAATACTCATTGGTGGGCTGTATTCAGGAGACCCATCTCACATGCAAAGACACACATAGGCTCAAAATAAAGGCATGGAGGTATATTTACCAAGCAAATGGAAAGCACAAAAAAGCAGGAGTTGCAATCCTACTCTCTAATAAAACAGACTTTAAATCAAAAAAGATCAAAAGAGACAAAAAAGGGCACTACATAATGGTAAAGAGATCAATGCAACAAGAAGAGCTAACTATTCTAAATATATATGTACCCAACACAGGAGCACCCAGATCCATAAAGCAAGTTCTCAGAGACCTACAAAGAGACTTAGACTCCCACACTATAATAATGGGAGACTTTAACAAAGAAATGGCATAATTATAGTCATGTGCCTGGTCTATTATTCCACCAAATGCTTAGAAGGAGTTAAAATCCAAGAAATAGAAAACACATGTGATAGATGAAGGAGGCAGATAAGTGAGGAGCCTCAGAGAATCTCTGACCCACCCCAAAAGTGCTTACATCAGATGCTTTTGTGCAGATGAGGGATCCTGCACAAAATGGACTGGGGGCCTGCTTGCACACTGGAAGAATGGGGTGGAAGTACCAGGAATTCAAACCTTATGCAGGTAGGGGAGCCTGGCCTCTTCGGCTTGCAAGTGTGGTGGCCTGGTATTCAATATGCCAGTTGGGACTGTTGGCAGGACGCCTCCCTCCACTTTTTTTTTTCCTGATCACTTTCTTTTGATAAATTCTGCTCTCCTCACCTTTCGATGTGTCCATGTGCCTAATTTTTCCTAGTGTGTGACAAGAACCTGGATTTTAGCTCAACTAAGTCGCAAAAATCCTGCATCACATAGAAAAAGTGACAGAATGAGATTAAATTTAATTTTTTAGTATACTGAAAAATAAGGTTTTTTGGTTTTCCATTAAAAATAATACCCCCAGAAACAGAGAATAACATGCTAGTTTCCAGGAGCTAGAGGGAAAGGGAAATGGGAAATTGTTGCTCAAAGCACAGAAAGTTTCATTTATACAAGATGAGTAAGTTCTCTAAGAGGCTGGGCATGGTGGCTCACGCCTATAATCCCAGCACTTTGAGAGGCAGAGGTGGGCAGATCACTTGAGGTCAGGAGTTTGAGACCAGCCTGGCCAACATGGTGAAACCTTGTCTCTACTAAAATTACAAAAATTAGCGGGCCATGGTGGCACATGCCTGTAATCCCAGCTACTCAGAAGGCTGAGGCATAAGAATGGCCTAAATCTAGGAGGTGGAGGTTGCAGTGAGCTGAGATCACACCACTGCACTCCAGCCTGGGCAAGAGAGTGAGACACCACTTCCAAAAAAAGAAAAATTAAGAAATTATATTTCATGTTGTGTTCTTATAAAACTAAAACCAGGTAGACACAAAGACCATAAGGACATATTTGGAGGTGATGAATAGGTTTAGTACCTTAGCCGTGGTGATGGCATCTCAGGTATACACAACCTCACCAGAAAGTATACATTAAGTATGTGCAATATTTTATATATCAGTTTGACCTCAATAAAGCTTTAAAGAATAAATGTATTAAAAATAAAAATGAGTTATTATATTTTTTAATTTAAAAGCATTACATTAGCATTTTATATTTGGATAGAAAATGAAATACATTTGTATTTCACTGAAGAAAAAAAATAGGTACTGTTAACATCCATACATATTTCTTTCAATTCTTTATTTACATGCACAGATTTTCTTTTATTCTTTTCTGTTGTTAAAGCATTTGGCCACATGACTTTATTTTATTTGTATAAATTTAAGGGGTACAAGCATAATTTCGTTACATAGATATATCACATAGTGGTGAAATCTGAGCTTTTAGTTTATCCATCACCTGATTAGTTTGCATTATATCAATTAGGTTCTTCCTCAGCACCCACTCCCCACCAAACACTTCAGGCTACAATACACAAATGAAAAATTCACAATTATTCCATGTTTCATATATTATATTTGTACATATGTTGCTTCTTTCCTTCTCATCTAACACATAGCACATATAGTTAAATAACATTCCTTTAAAGTTGTCTTATTCTATGCTATTTTAAATGCAAAACATATGAAACTGTTAAATAACTATTTGCTTTTTACTTAGCTTTTATTGTACAGCCATGGAAAAGACAAAACAGAAATCCAAGTATGGAGTAAAAGTTCTGTTCAGAAGTTGTCTTTATAGTCAATTTAGGACAAACTACTTTTCTCCTTTTTGGATGGTGTCTGTTAGCAGAAACTTTCTTTTAGAAACTTTACCTAAAAAACTCAAGTCTTTAAAATCAGGCTGTGCTTTAACATGTAAGGTATTTCTACATTTTGTTGTACATTTACACACTACTGGGTCTATTGTGCGTCAAGATCGCATCTCTCTGGCAAATGCCATTAAACGTGGAGCTACAGTCTTCAGAATACACCTGCTTTCCTGTGATAACGGCACAGCTCCTGTTATCAGTTGGTCCAATCACCGAAAACCTAAGAGATAAAGAATAGGTTTTTGAGCATCTATCTTAAAATGATGATAGTATCTTTTTTTTTTTTTTTTTTTTTTTTTTTTTTTTTTTTTTTTTTTTTTTTTTTTTTTTTTTTT